TCGGGCTTTGCATTTCTTGATCTTCAATGTTTGTTAAACGAATAAATCCACCTTTACTTAACATTAAAGCCCAGTGTTTCCACTTCTAAAACATACCTTAAATACCTCTCTCCACCTCCAATGCTGCCGGCCTCCTCCGAGCCACTTCTTTCCAGCACTACGCAATAGCTCCTAACTGGCCTCCTTCCATCCGTTCTTCGCCAGAATGAACTTGTAATTGTGTTAATCGGATCCTGTTGCTCCTTTGCTTAGAACTCTCCCAAGTCATCCCACTGCTGTTAGAACAAGCTGCACACCCTCGCCGAGGCTCACAAGGTTTCACGTGAACTTTCCCCAGCCTTCTACCCAACCCATCCTTCCCACTCTCTCAGCCAACCACACTGTCTCACTTTTAGTTCTTTGAGCCCCCGAGTTCTTTCTGGCCACAAGGCTCTTATATTTGCCATCTCCTTTGTTCCATGCCTGGCTCATTTCATCTTTCACATACCGGCTCAAATGTGTCCTTGGTACGACCTGTGCTGGCCATTCTGTCTAAAGCAGCGCCTCCCCTCCAAGTCTCTGTTTACTATGTCACCATCCCTAATGACCTGGATTCTTGGTTTATTTTATTAATGTCTTAATGTCTAGCGAGGTGCCTGACAGGTCTCAATTAGCATAACAAACTTACTGGCTTGACTTATGTCTGTCTCTCCAAACAAGCATATCCACCTTGGCTTTGCAGAACAATGCTACTGCTGTCCCTCAAGACCTCCCTCAGAGATGGCACTCAGGATGCTGAACGCGAAGCTCACATATTTCACTCTGCACCGTCTGTGCCCGCTGCTGTCTTCGGGCCTGAAATGAGCCTCCTGGAATCCTCAGGCTTTCTAAATGCTAAATATACAGCATTAATCGGATCTTGCATCTCTGGTGAATAACTAAGACACCTTTATGTTGAAATGCAGATTCTCCATTGAAAGGCAAATCTTTCATTTCAAACATTTGAATAAGACTGGGTTTGTATTTGTACAATAAGTTATATAGAACAGCATATTCCAGGCCCAGAGCGCTTTCATTTGATTGCTCAATAAATACGTTTTCACTCATCCAAAGCTCTTGCCTCCGAGTATTTTGCGCTCAGGAACTCAAATAAGTGACAGTAGCCTATTGAATCCTATTTAATTTTACGCAATAATGTTCTGCTTAGTTGCAGGGGTTTTCTGGGTATACCAGAGATGGACTGGGTGTGCCTTGTTGGGGCAAGGCGGGTTTGAGGTTGTACTAGGAGCACGGAGCAGAATAGGGCAGAGTGAGGTGGGTGACATGGATGGCCCCTCGCCCCCGCCTTGCTGTCTCCTCTTGTCTAAGAAACTTCTCCAAGTTTCCGTTTCCTTGTCTATAAAATGGGAATATTAATGCCTATCCCCATGGTTTGTTCTGAAGATAGAATGATATAATGAACATGAAAATACGTAGCACACTTTCCGGCACGTAATGAATGCTTTTGTGAGCATAGCGTTGCTGAACTTGAGCTAGGCGTGTGTTTTGATCATTAGCATTGTCACTCGAGTTGGACTCGGTGTGTGAGAGCCTGTGTCTCTGCTCCACGCTGTACATCCAGTAGGGGCTCGATAGCACTTAAGATGTCATTTGTTACTGATTTCTCATTACAGAACTAATAAGCATCATCAATTGCACGATCTGGAAATAACTGCTAACATTTTAGTGTAGTCTCTGCTTCCCCTCTCTCTGAATATACCCTTCTTGAATTGACTTCAGTTTGATTTACTGGAGGCACAAAAGGGCAGCTCCTCTGAGAAATGCACCATGCTAGAGAGAGAGGGAGGGATGGACTGCCCCGACGCACCACTTTCTGTGTGACCTCCTCACCCTTCCAGCCCTGAACCTGCCCTGAACCAGGGGTCTGACAGCCAGGCGTTGGCACTGGGCCCTGCAGATCCCTCTCTGCCCCAGTCAGGTGGCAAGGAGCGGTGGAAAACATGGCCTGCGTCCAGGTAGCAGAGCCCCTGTCTTCTCATGGGAATTGGTCGCTATTAGCTATTCTCAGTATGAGATAGATCGCCTGATCTTTCCTGGCTGCACACTCCAAAGAAACCTACTTATCTTGCAAGCACACCCTAAATAAAGCACAAATTGCTTCCTGCAAGTGGTTTTCTGCTGAACAAGGAGGCCACTGTTGCTATCCTCCTTGTCTGGCCACGTCCCCTTCACTCTTGGCCAGCTCTTTGCTGGACCCTCCATTGCCCCTGGATAACTGCGCCCTTGGTGGAGAGGGCTGGGCTACAAAGCTGTTTTATTTGTCAAACAGACATCCAGCCAGGGCCAGGTTAGGGCAGGAGCCCAAGACACCAACGGACCCACTGGTCAGGAAAGTACTCCAGAGCTTGGATCCTGCCTAACTTATTTTCTTACAGGGTATCCTCAGGCAGCTTTCTTAACTTCTCCAAGACTCAGTTTCCTTGCTTAGTATGGTTCTGCAAGGGTTTTCCTTTTGTGTGCCAAGCCTTGTGCCATGGGCTTTATAGACATCATCCCGATTAAGCTCAAAATTTCATGGCAGAGCTGGTGTGTGCAACAAAGTGGAAGGAAAGGGGGAGGCATTGAAAGAGACCCAGGAAATCACAGCAAGAAGCCTGGTGTTCATATTGCCACCAGCTCCAATATAAGCAGCCAGCCCCCACCTGCCTGCCTGTTCTTGATGCCACAGAGAGGTCCCAGAACAATACCATCCCAGAGCTGGACCAGTTCTACCTGACTCACTGATTTATAGATGAGAAAATGAGGCCCAAAGCGGGGTATGACTTATTTGAGTGGTGTTCATTTGCTCGTTCATTCATTCATCAAACATCTGTTGTGCATCTGTTAGGTGCTGAGGCACATGGCATGTTCTGGGAATACACACAGGACTGGAGTGCACACTCCTGCCCTCGGAGAACCACGCAACCATGAGCGGGTAGAAAGCCAACCGTAAGGATGTTTTCTTAAGGAGGAAGCAGTTGGTGTAGACTTCTCTTATAAGAAGACTGGAATGGAAGAAAAGGGAAGAAATGAGAAGATAGAATGAGAGGGACACAGGGACTGTTTTGTCACATGGGCGAGACTGGAGCACATGGATGATGCAAGGGGAATGGTCCAGAGGAAAGGTGGGGAATGAAGATGCAGGTGAGAGAGTGATGACTGATGTGCAGAGGCTCTTGAGTATGGATGGGGAAGAATCAAGAAGCCCTTTGGAGGGACATTTGATTTCCAGGCAAAGATTTTTAAGAGGGGAACACAAGTCAGAGGTTAGTCACCAAGACACAGATCCAGTGAGGTGGCAGAGTTTAGAGAAGGAGCAAACTAGGGGTCTGGGGACGAGGGAGCACTGTGTAAAGGACAGGGCCCTTCAGCTGAACCCTGCTCCAGCCTGATCCCGCCTTAGACATCTATGCTGGACCCTGTGAAAGACACAGTCATGATAGCAAATCTGAGGTGGGCCGTGGGTGGGCTTTCCTTTGAAGCATCTTCCTGGCCCTGCTGTTTTGCTGAGCTTTTCACGAGCTTTGAGTGGACTTTGACTTCCTTGGTTGTCTGCAGAACAAGATCCCCCTGGTGCTGTTGGGGAAGGGGGACTTCCTGTTGCACGGGCTGCTGTCACGTTAGCTGTGCTGTAGGACAGTCAGGCCACTCTCGCATCAGACTGAAGGACAAGAAGAGACTGTTCTAGATGTGCTGATACTAAAACCGGCATGGACACAGCGTTCAACACACACACACACAAATGCTTTGTGGCAGACAAAACTAGTGTGATTATCATGTCCATTTCACAGATGAGGAGGCTGAGGCTTGAAAGGTTAGGTATACAAACATGGCCAGGCATGCAGCCGGTACAGAGCAGAGAAGGGGCTTGTGCTTGGGATTTGGCTTCCAGCCCTTGGCCTTTCTGCACACTGTGCTAGTTCCACTCCACACAGGAACAATGATCTGAGTACTACTACTACTATTATTAGCTAATGGTGACTGGATGCTTATCATGGCTCAGGCATTGCTAAGCACTTTACGTGAAATATTTCATTTATTCTTCCCAACTCTGGGAGGTCAGTATTCTTTTTATCCGCCTCCTACAACTGAGTGAACCAAGATGCTGAGAGGGATTCAGGAACACGCTCGAAGCCACACAGGCTGTAAGTGTGACAGTCTAATGCTGGTGTGTTAGATTCTGAGCCCACTGTCTTGACAGCTTTGCTGTGCTCTCTCGCAAAGTGGATTCTAAGGAGCGGCTGACTGGTCGATGGGTGTGTGGGGCCGGGGCTCTGAGGATGGTGGTGGGCACTGGCGACTCGGACATGTGAGCCTGGCCTAGGGGAGGTTGCTGCCTGTGGCCTGGTGCTCCTGCAGCCTCCCCTGCCTCCCAGGACCCTCCCTGGGCTCCCAAGGAAAAGCCTGAACCGCTGAGGCAGGGGAGGCCCACGGATGGGTCCGGCGGGGCCTGCCTGTGGCCGTGAAGCACTGGAACTGCTCATGATGAGGGGTGGGTTTTCAGACCTGGCTCAGTGCCTTTCATCTGCCCCCTCTGTGACTACCCTGGGAACAGCCTGGGCCAAGGTTTGGGGCCTCCATTAGTTCTGCACTGTCTGAGACATTCATGGAGGCAAGAAAGCAGACTGGCTCTTTTGTGTTTACAGCAACTCAGGCTGCTTTTCTTGGCTACTAGGATCCAAAAACTAATATCCTCAGAAGCTAGCTTATTCCCAGTGACGTGGTTAAAGAGTGCTATGTTCTGCTGGCCTTGTCCCAAGAGGCAGCAGTTGTGCCTGGCACACTCTCCCTCCCAAACCCTGGGTGCAGCTGTCTGACCATCTGTCGGTAGGACCGTCCACCTATCTTGCCAGCTGGCGGGCCCACTGTGGAATGATGACATGCTAGCAACATACCTGTTTACCTGTCCATCTCATGCCAGAGAGTGGAAGGTCACCGAAGGCAGGGAGCCTGTTGGACTCATCTCTGTGTTCCTCTTGCAGTGGTTTGTAACCTTTCCCCTACCACCAACACCTGCAAAATCTGCCAGCCCCCATCAGTGATGCTCTAGCGAAGCCAGTCATTCTCGAAGTGGAATGGCACACCAGGATTGCTGAGGGTCCTGCTTGCAAAAGGCCCCAGTCCTGATAACTTTGCCTACAAGTGACTCAGGAAAGCAGGGACTCAATAACAAGCCCCTGGGGTCCTCTGTCCCCCAGCCAGACCTGGCTTTTACTCCCTAGCAACCTCCTTGCAGCCCCTGCCTCAGATGCCCTTGCAGCAGAGCTGGCTGGAGGCTTCTCTGTTTCTCAAAGTGTGTTCTGGGGAACACTGCATGGAGACAAGACTCAGAATCTTACAACAAGACTCGGCTGTTGATAAGAACTGCATGGCAGGCAGAAGGGCGGAGAGCACGTGCCAGCCAGGGCCTGGGGACCGCCACAGCCCAGGTCCTTGAAAGGCTTCTCTTTCTATACCTGAGTCTTCCCAAGAGCCCTCCACAGTTTGCCTGGGGGAGGTGGGGTATTTTTATGCTCAGGAAAGGAAGATGAAACATGATGTTCAGATGAGGAAATGAGACCTTGCAGTCATAAGTTATTAAACTTCCAAAAGCCTGCTGGAGAGAAGATGATGGTAACATATTACTACATCTGAATGACGGCAACATTTGTGATATATAAAAGGATTACAGTATTTCAGGGAATAAGACATTAAGGGTCACTTTGTTATTCGAGATTTGAGATGTTTCCAATGGCGTGAATTTCTGCTGATTAGAGCAGGGCTAATCTCTCATGACTTGTTAGTAATTAAACTGACCCAGACCCTCTGCTCTAGCATCTCTCGGGATGGAACATCTCAGGTAATCTGTATTCGTAAACTCGCCAGGTGGATTCTTGTGCACACACTGAAGTTTGGAAACGATTATCCTTAACACAATGGTTCTAAATCTTGGCTGCATATTGGAATCTCCTGGAGAGATTTAAAAAATGAAACAAAATCAACAAAAAAAGATGCCTGGGACCTCATCTCCAGACATTTTGATTCAGTTGATCTGGGCTAGGGCCTGGACATCCATTGTTTCTGGCTGTTTTGTTCCCCAGTTGCCTTTACTGTGCAGCCAAGATTGAGAATATGGGTTAAGCCGTGGTCTCAGCCATGGTGCCTGTCTGTGCCCTGCATGGGCATGTGTGTGGGTGTGTCTCCTGGGCTGATTCCAACCCTCAGAGACGTTTGTGGCTGGGACCTGGGCTCGCTGTGGCAAACAGGGTGGTTCCCTGTTGCATGCCTCTGTCCCACCATCAGACCGCATGGCGGCCTCTGCTGTGTTCAGAGGATCTTGTTAGAAGCTGGGAGAAGAGCCTTTGTCATGTTGCCTCTCCTGTGTAGCTCTGGGTAAGAAAGGGCTCTGGGAAGGAGCAGAGGGTGGCAGCTGCAGCTGAAACCAGCGGTCCCGGAAAGAGTTCTGACCATGGAGCCGTGGGTGACCTAAGCTGGGGCAGTAGCACCTGATGTCGCAGTTGCTGCAGAGCTGGGGGCCCTGACACTCAACGCTGGCGTCTGTATGTCAGTGTGGGGAGCCATCGGAGCCCTCCCGCCCACCACAGGCACATGCAGTGCACACAGTCGGTGGGCACACACAGGGTGCCTATCTTCTCTCCATCAAGGCCCTCCTGCCTCCTGGACCCCAGCTTAGGAGGATGCTCTTCTCCACACACACTGCTTGTGTTCAAAGATGATCAATTTATTTCCCGTCTTTTATTAATCAAAGACACATGTAGCTGTTAAGCAGGGCTTCTGACTCCCAGTAGGTGAGAAGTTTTTCTACCTTGAGTCTTCTAGAAATCTCACCCAAAGCCAAGGAATGGGGTCCTTTCATTGATCTTTGTGTATCCTTAGTTCCGGGCCTTTTGGAAACAGGTTGAAGACCTGCCTTGCCCAGGTCTCACCTCCTGTCTTGCTGCCCCCTCATTTCTGCCCCAACTTTGCCTGTCTGTGTTGTCTTCAGCATGTCCCTCAACCTCTCTGATGGAACGAATGACTGGCCTGGGCTCTCACTGGGAAATGAACTAGGTAAACTCACTAGCTTACGCTGTTCAAACCGTGTTCTTTAGCCACAGACCCTTTCTTCAAAGGGTTTATGTGAGATCCTAGTCTGTAAACAGATGGAGTTAGAGCTGCTCTGGTAAAGGGGGAAAGAGGGACCTCAGGCTCCCCCATCCCCATCAGAGTCCACCTTCCCCAAGGGGCCTGCACAGAATCCTTGAAAGCCGCTGTCCTATATAGGGTATTTTCAACGGAAGCTTATCCTTCCTTCCATGGGGCCAGGGGGCGGGGCAGCGGGGAGATCCATATCAAAATCTTGGGAAAGTTAGATGGCTTGTGTACTTTGAAAAAACATATTCCCAAATAGCCATTGTTTTTATGTGTTTTAAGTTGTGATGTTTAATTTATTTTCAAATTTCACATTATGTGAAAGGAGGGTAGGGATTTTAACATTGGTTTATAAAGGCTGCAATTCATTGATCTAGATCAGTGTTTTGCAAAATGCAGTCACAACGTGTTAGTAGGTCATGGAGTCAATGTACTAGATCGTGACCAGCATTCCTTCTTAATAGAATATTGTAGAACAAAATAGCATATATCAGTTAGTCACACATAGTAATGCTAAAGATTGTGTTGTAAACTGTTGTTTCTCTTATGTGTATTTGTGTGGACTGGTGTCATGGGCATTATGCACAAAATACGGTTCTAACTGTAGATTCTGATCAGGAAAGGCTGAGAAGCAGAGGTCTGGGTGGAGGACTCCTGTGGTTCCTTCAGGCACTGGTGTTGGCTCATGCCTGCATCTGACCCCCCGTGCTGAGCAGGGCGCTGGTGAACAGTGCAGCTAGGCAGGGGCTGGGGGTAATCAGGACCGCCCTGTAGTGACTGTGTAGGCCCCTCCCCTAAAGAGCCCAGCACCCTACACACTGTCCAGCAATTCCACTTCTCCTGCTGGGGCCTGGAAGGAGGCCAGGAGGTTAAGGTAGAGCCAGCTGACCATGTCCGAGTCCATGGTCCAGGGAGCTAACCAGGGTATGTCTTGTACAGGTGAGTGAATGGGTGTACAAGGTGGTCTGGGGATCTCCCCACAGCAGAGAGGCTTGTTACCTCCAGGCCTCTTTCGTTCACGGAGGCCACTCTCAGGACCCTGCCTGAGCTGAGCCTCCCAACCTCATGCTCCAGGTTGCTTCGGTTTCTGTGGCAGCTGAGATGCCATGGAAACGGGTCATGAGCCCCAGGATCAGAGGGCAGCATGACACAATCCGGGCAGCCTAGAGGAGCAATACTCAAGCCACAAGGAATCCTTGTGTTTTCCTGCAGAGTGATAGCTCTGTAGGGTGGGAACCCCTGCCTCCCAGTCCTGGGCTACACAATATAACAGACTAACATGGCAGGAAGCCCGTCACCTGCTCACCCAACTCCCCAGCCTAGGAGGCAGTCAGTCTGGATACAGAGGCCATCACTTGTGGCCTCCCAGACCTCCTCCCCTAACCTTAGCAGTACTGGGCTTGAGGGTCAGGGAATAGACCTTGCTTGGGTATCCCACGGCACCTCACTGCAGGGCACCAGTAGGCTCTGGAATCTTTCCACCCTCTTAAGGAGGATAGAGGAGCTGCCTTGTGTTCTAAGTTGCCCTGTGTAGCAAATACTGATGGGGAAGATGAGAAGTGATGACAGCCACACTGACAACCTTACTTTTTTTGCTCATAATTCTATCACCAGCTCCTAGCACAGTACCTGACCAGTAACAATAGTAGCAACAACAGCCAACGTTTATGTAGCACGTAGAATGTGAAAGGATCTGTCATTTGTTTATTCAGTCCTCACAGTAACCCCATAAGGAAGCAGATATTATGATTATCTCCAACTCCCCACATTAGGAAACTGAGGCACAGAGAGGTTAAATGACTTGCGTAAGGTCACACAGTCAGTGAGTAATGAAGCCAAGTTCCATACTCAGGCAATGTGACTCAGAGGTCTTGCACTTCACCACCAGGCTATGCTGTCTCTCTACACAGCTGTATCTTGATGCATATTAGTTGAATAAATGAGTTTCATTTTGTTTATAATGCCAAATTCATGGACGTTAATTTTCACTTCTCTTAGGTACCCAGAAAAGGTAGGGCAAGCCGATGTGTCTTCTTCAGTGTACAGGCCCATCAGGGAGCTTCTGTATGAGCCACCCACCTGGAGGAAACAGCATTAGACCTGGGCCCGTGTCACCTTCCTGAAGAGGAGATGTTCATGGGACCATGATAGGCTGTGCATCAGAGTGCCCTCTCTGGTCACCCACCAACTTTGAGGCTTGGTGAGGAGGAGGAACCTCAGGGCTGCAGGATTTCTGAGCAGAGAACTCATCCTCAGCTCTGAGCCTAGGAGACCTCGAGTCTCCAGGAAGGCTGGCTCACCCTCTTGAGATCCTTTCTGGGCACAAGAACAGGGTTTACTGTGCACTTGGAAAATCCATTTGTAGAGCAAAGACTCATGATTATGGAAGACAATTCAGAGCCTATGGAAAATCCCGAGACCCACTGAAGACACCTTTTCTGACCTTGTACACGAGGCATCAGTGTGGATGATTTTCAAAGCCCATGGCTGACAGAGACAGACAAAATGGGACCCTTTGCACCGCATCCTGGACATGCAGAGTTTCTTTGTCCAAAACCTTTGCTTGTTTTGTCTGGCTGCAGGCCGGGATTGCCTCCTTCCTCTGCCTCAGGAGCCCATGGAGCACGACAGGGTTGGTAAATTAAGAATTTGCCAGACGGAAAGGACTAATTTTTTTCCCCTTTCAAAATCATGAGCATGACGGTTTTTTGCACACATTCGGCCGGACACATGCTGCATTTATAATACAGAGAGTCGAGACATCATAAAGGTTTCACATCTTTCATGTGATAAATATTTTTACCGTCATGCTCGAGAAATGGATTTTGTTTGAAAATGGTCTATTTCCTTTGATGGCTTCTTTGACATGGATTCAAAGCCTTTCTTGATCCTGCTGGGGCCTGGGGTTGGGAAGGCCTGTTTGTTAACTTTTTTCAAAGGACAAATCGACTTCTCCCCGCTGCAGTACCACTGCAGCTGCTGGGGCTGGGAGATTTACGATTTAGGACAGTAATGGAAAGATGTCCGGCTGGCCGACAGCCGCTGAGAGCGATGGCATGCACAGCCCTGGGGCCGCCACCGTTGGGGCACCCAGGGGCGGTGAGCAGACCCCAGACTCGCCAGGGCCCTGGTTCTTGTTTATCCTTCTACCCTGTAAATTGCACTTAACCAATCAGATGTGGACTATTTAACCAAAGTGGAGCCCCGTAATATTTCTTCTTGCAAGTTTGTTTTTACAAGTGTTCTTTTCTTGTCTTTGAAATGACACAGTTTTAATGATCTTGCTACATGCAGTGAGCAGCCACTTGGGACTAGAAGAATCTGTTTTCAGAAGAAGCTTTTGCAGGCTGCTGGAGGCTTCTGTAACTTCTGTGTGTGTGTGTGTGTGTGTGTGTGTGTGTGCGCACATGTGTAGCTGAGTGTGTATGCCCATGTATGAGGATACACCCAGTAATAACTGAACAAAAGGGGAATTCTGCTCTCCTCTGGGAGCCCGGATCAATAGTCCCAGGGTCTTGTGATCAATATCCTCCCCTGCACACCTGCAAGCACTTCTTACCTTCCTGCCAGCCTCGCATGTAGGTTGCAGGTGCTCTCTGTAGATCTGGACCAGCCCTGGGAAGGAGTGTTAGAGGGAGGAAGTTTGCTGGTTTGCCCAGAGCTCAGGCTCTGGGGTTTGGCTGCCTAGAGGTACCCAGAATACTTGCTCATTGCACTGAACGGATTGCCTTTTCCCGGAGCCACTTTGCAGGAACCCCCGAGGGTGGTGGAGGGAGCACTGAGAAGGGACCAAGGGCATCCAGGGCCTTTTCCTACTGCCCAGTCCTAGAATCAGCTGCTGCTTAGCTGTGTGACTATCTAGACCTTAGTTTGTTTATGACATAAAGGAGTTGACCTAGAGGCCTAAGGGTTCCATTGAATAGGGGAAGCCACCAGGCCCTGTGTGAGCCAGATTCAGTGATCTGAGCCACCTTAGAATCATGACATTCTAGGACTTGAAAATATCTTGGAGATGACATTGTGTCTACTGGTGAGAACATGGAGGCTAAAGGAAAGGAAGGACTTGTCCAAGGCCACACGGTGAATGAGCTGAGAGCCAGGACTTGGAAGGAGGCTGTGTTCTCTTCTCTACAGCTCTGGTTCTTAGAGCAGGGAACCTGGACCAGCAGCCTCGCCATCCTCTCCTAATTCCCTAGAAATGCAGATTCTCAGGCCCCACTCTAGATCTGCTGATTCAGAAACTCTGGGGTGGGACCAGCCATCTGTGACTTAACAAGGCCTCTGGGTAAAGTCTAGTGCTTGCTGGTGTTTGGATACCACTACTCTGTAGCACACTGCTGCCCTTTAAGACCAGAAGAAAGACACTGGAAACTGGCAGGCTTCCCAGGAGAGGCCGTTTGAGACAGGAGAGCAAAGGATAGAGTAATATTACAGAGGAAAGGCACACATGATTTGTGTGCCTTAATTCAGGCTGCAGGTTTCCCAGAGCAAGGACTCTTGTTTGCACATCCTTGTGCCTTGGAGGGAGTCATGGCTACCACAAGCATCTGATGTTGGTCTGGGCCACAGGCTGTCCTCCTGCAAAGGGCCACATTTCTTGCTCCCTGCCCAACCCAGCTGTTCCCATTTGTGCATCTGTGTCCAGAGAAGTATGCCACTTTAACGTCAGCAGGGTAGGTCCAGCTAGCTCATTCCAAGAAATTGATGTGTGGAAACACTGCAAACACTGTGTTTTATGTGTGAACAGTCAAGTGTATGTTTAGAAGTCCGGGTGTCAGCTCGGTGGGGACTGTGGGGGGAGGATAATGGTATGTGCTTTGGAGTTTATTATCTCTCCTAGGCAGAATTCTAGGTTTAAAGAGTCGTTTTAAAGTAGCAAGTAATGACATATATAAATCCTGGTTCCTAAGTCATGGACATTTGTCATTCCCTAAAACGAGTTTTTCACATGGACTTTATATGGTTGGCTTAGAGTATAAAAACTTGACCCTTTAACAGCAACTTTCAAATAATTTTTAATCAAGTCCATTTCCATTTCTGTAAGTATGTGTGCACATGCCAAGTTCTGGCTGCCCCTACCTGCACCTGCCATCTCAGATGCACCTAGACCCAGAACCCGTCCTGTGTGGGTGAGGGAGGACACAGCAGTGCCAGCTTGGCAGGAGTGGGCATGGAATTTGTCTGGCTGGAAGAGATTGTCATGTAGTATCTGGAGTCTGCTTGTAGAGTCAGACATCTTCCTGTTCCTTGCCTGCCATCTCAGCTCAGACTGAAATGACCGTGCTTCTCCTGAGAACCCCAACTTATTCTCTAGTTCCTTGTTAGGACTTGTCACTTTCCTGAATCCTAGCTCCCCTGGCTGGGGTTGCCTTCCCTAATCCTTGCCAGCTCCTCCCGGGGTGTGGGGCCTGATGCCTCTGCCCCTGGCTGTCTTAGTCCATTTTGTGTTGCTATAAAGGAATACCTGAGACTGAGTAATTTATAAAGAAAAATGGTTTATTCGATTCACAATTCTGCTGGCTGGAAGATTGGGCATCTGGTGAAAGCCTCAGGCTGCTTCCACTTATGGTAGAAGGTGGAGGAGAACTGGCACGTCCAGAGATCACACAGCAAGAGAGGAAGCAAGAGAGAGAGGGGAGGGAGGTGCCAGCCTTTTAACAACCAGCTCTTAGAGGAACTATTGGAGTGAAAACTCACTCACCCCCGCTCAGGGAGGGCATTTATCTATTCAGAGAGATCTGTCCCCAGGCCCCCATGACCCAAACTCCTCCCATTAGGCCCCACCTCCAACATTGGGATCAAATTTCAACATGAGATTTGGGGCACAAACATCCACACTATAGCACTGGCCTGGCCCTCGGTCCTGCTCCCAGTGACTTGAATTTCCCGAATCATGACTGTCTTTTATCCTTCCCAGGAGGCGCTGAGTTAGGCATCAC